GCTGCTGCCCTGGCCGGGACCCCGCCTGCTTCGCCCGCGGCTGGAGGCTGGACAGGATCTACGGGACGTGCTTCTGCGACCAAGCCTGTCGCCTCACTGGGGACTGCTGCTTCGACTACGCCAGGGCTTGCCCAGGTGGGTGGCCAGGCTGAGGGCGGGACGCCGGCCGTTCGCCCGCAGCCAGCGGGCACAGGACAGGGCGCTGTGCCAAGGACCATAGCCCCAAGGCCAGTCATCCCCTAGCCCCCTCCGTCCTGTCGTGGCCAGACCCTCTCCCCTCCCATCCCAGCCATTTCCATCCAGGTACACCCAGCTCCACTCATCTCGGGGTCACCCAGGACCTTCCACCCAATTGAACCCTAGACTCTCCATTCAGGGGTTCCTCAACCCCTACTGTCCTGGCGTCTCCGGGTCCTCTTCATCTAGTCACAGACCAGAGCTTGAATGGAAGGGACTAGGAGCCCTCTTTTCTTCTCCTGGAAGGGCGTGGGGCCACCTCTGTAGATGAAGTCTCCGATTCAGGAACTCCAACTGAGCAGAGCCACCTCCAGTCCACGGAGGTGGCACGGACAGGTTCCTGGGGCACGCTCCTGGGCCGAGCTCCACAATTTTCCTCTGCTCACCCTCAGGGACCTTTGGGGCTGATGAAGAGTTATAAAGGCAGGAATGTGTCATTTATCTCACTTTGTGCCAAAGGCAAGTTTTGGGAGGGTTCTTTCTTCTGGAGAGCAGGTTCTTAAAGGACCGAGGTTGTCCTCACCTCTGGATCCCGGCATGTAGCACAGTCCCTTCCTCATAGAAGGTGCAGTTATGTTCTTGGAGTTCAATTCTATCTAAACAGTATGATAAGGATATTAATCTCACAGTCCCTATTTATTATATTTATTTATATTGTGCTGGTTTTGAATTAACAGATAAAGGAAGAAATAGTGGTCATAGTCCTAAAGAGCAAGGTGTGCCTGAGAGAAGTCAGCTCTAGAAATAAAAGTAGTCCTGCTCTCTGTCAGTCACAGCATCCTCAAAGCCACACATATGCTTGAGTTCAAGGTCAAGAATCTCGGCATATGGGATCCTCAGCATCTTCCGGGGCTATGACATTCCCAGCTGTGACTAGGTGCCCAGCAGTCAGGAGCACCCTCCTGCCTGTGTGCTGCTTGAAGAGGCCTCCAGACCACTAGCAGGCCAGTTACCCAGGCCTGATGCTCAAAGAACACAGCTGAAAAACATTAAGACTGTTTGACCCTGGTTGAAAGCTAATGATTTACCTACGAATATTGATATTCTTTTGGATAAGCTTCTTACCCTTCCCTGCTCAAAGACCAGGGTATTTTACTACTACAGTAGATGGAAGAGGGCACTATTTAGGAAATATGGTGCCCTCGAACCAAGTGTCTCCAGCCCCTCCTGACAGCATCCTAAAGTGTTGGTCTCATTTCCCTGTATAAGTCAAGCAAAGCTTTCTCACTGTGGCAGAACCACTGGCTCATGAGGAGCTTGCCTGCATTTTAAAGGTAATTACAGAATTCGTGTGGCCCAGGTAATGTGCTCAGGTCTGTGGTAAGCACAGGGTTAGAGAGATGGTGACAAGGCAGTCTCTGCTCCCTAGGCATTTGCAGTCTAGCTGGGCAACACGTGAAAAACTACATGCAACATGCCTAGTACCAAAATAGGTGATCCAGGAGGGGTTCTGGGAGGGAAGGCTTTAAAGACCTGAGGAATTAAGACCGAGAGGAAGTCATGGGCGAGCTTGGGCCTGGAGAATGAGGAAGAGGCCTACAGGAGGAGGGAGAGGTGGGCCTTGCCATGGTCCAGCAGTCACTGTGGACCTCGGCCTGTTTGTTTCAGGCCCTGTGCTAGGTCTGAGGCAAACACAGTGAACAGGACAGATCCTAGTGGTGGCAATGGCTAGATCAGAGAGATTCAGGCACAAAAGAGGAATAGGGAAAGATGAGGCGAGTGTCCTGAGAAGAACTTGCTTTCTAGTGAGGCCTAACAGTGCTACCAGGAGTTGCATAACTCTCAGAGTCTTTATTTGGTCAATAAGAAATCCCTTCTTTTCGGTCTGGGAGGTAGAAATAGTGAGACAAAGAGTCAAATGTGTTGGAGTGGGGATTTAGCAGGTAAGCATAGAAGAGAGGAGATGGCATTACTGTCCTGTGAAGAACTCAGAAATCATAGCCAAGTGTGTGCCTGGGAAAAGAGCTGTGAGTGGTAGAAGAGGAGATGGAGTCGGATAGAATTTTAAAAGGAGCATCTTCAGGAGCCCTAGATGCCCTTTTGCAGAGTCAACAGAGAACCTTACAGGCCTAGATAGAAGCAGGTACAGGACCAAAAAGATTCCTCCTTGATAAATTCTCTGCACCTGGAGTTTCTTGTGAAAGGAGGAAGAAAATGGAGACAATTGGAAGTTGGTCACTTGTTGCGGCCGGCCTGCTCGTCTGTCAGAGCTGAGGGTGAGAGTGAAGGGCCCAGAGCAGAGAAGTCCAGCGTGTTCAGCCCTGGAATCTGCCGACTGTGGCTCCCCATGCAGGAGGCCAAGATCCTGCCTTCCGGGGATTCAGAGCTGACCAGACAGCTGGGAACTAGTTGAGGGACAACTCCTAGAATACGGTGTTTTCTTCTCGCCGAGTCTGTACCTCAAATATTTATTTTTATTTGTGAGTTTTTTTTTCTTGGAAGTAACCTAAATGCCTCCATTTTGCCCCTCAAGGCAGAATTCTGGCTTCAACTGGTACACTGTCGCTTCCTGGCTTTGTGACTTGGGAGAATGTATGGCTAACTCACTTATAAAAGGGGAATGATTAAACGACCATGTGGGCTGGTGGAGGTGACGGAGGGAGATGGGGCCAGGAAAGCCCTAAGCATGGCTCCCAGCGTGTCGTAGGCACTTAGGCAGCAAATGCACTGTCGGTTGGCTCCTGGCCTAGTTGACATGGGTGAATGTTTTGTTTGATTAAATATTTATATTGTAATTTTATGACAACATATTGCTGTAATTTTTATTCATTAATATTGTCATAAATATCTTTTATTGAACTCCCACTGTGAGCCAGGCACTTATGCACTTTGACTCATTTAATCCTCCCAACAATTCTTAAGAAAGGCAGGTCAGGTCTGCAGTCTCTTATTGACAATCCGAAAGTCCAGAAAGTGCCAAAATTTTTTTCCCTAGCTCATTTGGTGGCAAAGATCTCACCTGACCTAATGGAAAACTACTGATAATCTGTTTATCACCTGTATGAATATATTTTGCCTCAAAAATATTGATGTGTTTTGCAAAGAGCTGCCCTAAACTGCTGACTCTGGGGCAGGGTCTGGGGCAGGCCAACATAAGTTGTATGAGTATACACGGTATTCCCTTTCTAAGATCTGGAAAATCCTGAATTCCTAAACTTAAGGGTTTGGGAAAAAACCCTATTCACCTGTACTAGCATTTTACAGGAGGGTTAAATGCAGCAGCTGAGGGTTACCGTTACTCAAGTTAACACAAATGAGTAGCAGAGCTGAGGTCTGAACCCACAGCTGTCTGATTCAAGCTGCCCTCAGCCACATCTATCCGGACCAGTTTATGACTCTTATTTATTCCAAGACAAATCAAGTTTCAGCATTTCAAAGCCCCCGGTTACTCTATATACGTAGAAACATTCTGCCATCTAGAATCTCCTTACCCAATGTTATTATTGCCTCTAGATGCTGCCCAAAGCCTTTTTTCACTGAGATTACATTCATTGTGAATGAAAATGTAACTGTCAGTATAGCTCAGCATGCTTTACTTTTGTTCCTTCTGATTTTTAAATCTTGATAAATGCATTTTTTATATGGCTAAGAGGTGAAATACTGGCATTCTTTTTCTAAGTAAAAGGCTTGGAGGTTTTTTTTTTTTCACTCACATAAAAATAAAAATGTTATTGGGTCTATAGAATTGCTAAACTGCCAAAGAAATCTATTCTGAAATGAATTATCTCAGAAAATCTCATTATGATCAAGGCATGGGTTTCAACATCAATGATGTGTAACAACTCCCTCCTCACCTCAAAACAAACAAAGAAACAAAACAGAAGAAGAAGGAGAAAGAAAAAATTATAGAAAATTCTCCATTGTCTGTACATGACCAGGGCTGGGGGAAAGTAGAATAGGGGAACAGATGCAAGTTACCCCACCCTGGAAGAACTTCTTGGAAGACTGGTTTATGAGGTACATAACACCCTAATCTCTAATTTATCAGCTGGCTTCCTAGAGTTTGCATTCTAAGATCATAGAATAGTAGTTGCATTATATCATTGGTAAGCAACTTAAGGAAAGGGTAATCGTTAACTCAAGTGAAGCAGAACAAATATTGAGTAGCCCATACAGGCCAGTGTCTTCTAGATTCATAGAGAGTCTAGGGAACAAACTAGCCAAGATCTGATGACATCATTTCTGGAGGGAAAAGGGGATGCCATGCTTGGAAATATGGTCTCCAAAACTCACGCAGAGGATGTCATAGTCCGTAACAATTTAGAAAGTCGAGGTTTTACAAGAGCAAGAACAATCTGAGAGAAATTGTATGGCTTTCCCTGTCTTTGCCTTTGCAGAAAATTGAGCAGGGCTTGGAGCCAGTTCTCAAAATGACTTGACTTAGCAGAATTTGGCTGCAGCCCTGGGTGTGCAGTGAAGGAGGGTGAAGCTGTTAACACCAGCATTTGCTGTGTGCCAGGCACTCTTCCAAGCACGTCATAGCTACTTGCTTACTAGGATCTCACGACCCGCTGAAGTTATTCCTCATTTGGATCTCATTTTATGGACGAGGTAAGCGAGGCACAGAGAAGTTAGTAACTTGTCCAAAGTCACACTACTAATAACTGTTGGAACAAGATGTGAACCCGGGTAATCTGGATCCAGAGCCCAGACTTTTCAACCTGATACTTTTCTGCCTCAGAGAAATAAGACTTTATGAGAAGAGAAGCCTTGTACTTTGCAGTGTAGGCCCCAAATAAATACTAGCAGAGGGAGCAAACCTTCTCTCTTCATCAAAAGAGTGCGTCCTGCCCCCGGTTGTAACCCCCCAAAACTATCATGATGCCTCTTAATAATGTTTGTTAGAAGACAAATAATGTTTGTCACAAACAGGCCTATAATCCCAGCACTTTGGGAGG